GACAGACAAACAGATAAACAGATAGACAGACGTTGCCGTCTTATACATATATGTAGTAGAATGGGAATGAGCTTTTCCGCATCCTTTCCAGTGTAGACGAGCAGATTATTTCTATTTCAGGCAGTGGAGTTCTGCATTCGATACAAAGATCAGAAAAGGCGTGGCAAATGGCGGTCATTTACGTGATAATTTTGGCACTGTGGTACTTAAAGCCACATACCACAAATGAAATTCTTGGTAGTGGGATCAAAACATGAACTCAAAGAGCCTATTTGACTCAGTAATGGAAAAAAAGAAGCGGGCGGAGTCATCGAAAGTGCCCCAGCGAAGATACTGACATTGGACGTGCGGTCGAAGAAGCGAGACGTGCTTTGAAGGTGAGAGACCAGAGACAGAGATGACGGCATGGTAATACAAGCGAGACGACGAAGGAATGTCTCACATAGAATGAGCGCCCAATGTCACACCTTTGTTCAAGGACCGTTGACACCTCTCGTCCCTGGTTCTTTCAGCTAAGGAGATTAGGAACTCCTCTTGTACTGGGACCGAAGTGCTTATGCAAGTAAGGAATGCTACGAGCCAGGTAAATGCGGAATGTCTCTTCGTGCTGCAGCCTCTCAAGACTCTTTTTACAACGCTTTCATGTAACCCTAGCTACTTTCCGAACAGCCTTTGTGTTTAAGATGTAGTGATCAGAACAAGAACAGTTCTTATTCTAGGACGAGACTCACATCTACATCAGAGAGATCCAGTCACTGTGCAAAAACCTTTATCGCGGAGCACGGACGTACTGCTATCATCCAGAACTTCTCAAATATCCAAAATACGCCATACCATGTGCTCTGTACAAAATGCAGTGCATTGACGTCTATACTCGCGTCATCTACGGATGAACCTAGGTTGCTTTCGGAATTCCGAAAATGAAACGGCTTTAGTTGGATTTTTTATCACTGGTGGTAGCCTAGACGAACAAGGATCGGATCAGGGACAGAGGTAGCCACGTGTCTTGATGATCACCCTTTTGCAGTTGAGATGAAAAAAATCAAAACGGAAATGTAGTCATGTTAAGTTGCCGTTGTTGGTTCCAGTCTCTACCATGTCACTTCATATGCTTACTCTCTCTAGAAATACATCCCTGAAAAAGAGCGATGAAAAAGAGCGGCTTCCAGAAGGATTAGGTGCGCTTCCACCCGTTATTTTTATGGGCGAACCCTCTAAAACCAGCATTCCTAAAGTCGTTGTCACTAGTCGAGTCCCTGCCACAATCGTGCGCCACTTTCGCCAGCAAACGTGTTACCAATGAGGAGCGCACAATCGCTGTGAAGAGGTCTGGTATCAGTACCACAGTTGTCATGCATTCTGCTTTTGATAGGTAGGAAATTAAAAGAGGCTCATGTTGTAAAGTTACTTTTGAAAGGGGTAGAATTTCATTTTTTATCACCAAAGCAGCCCTCTGGTTTTTTTAGAGCAGGACAAAATTCTGTGGGACTAATTCGAAACGACAATTGAAAGTATCTTACAGAATGAAACGTACCATGCGATACCTGTATTCATAGATATAGGACCGCCGACTTTTCTCATCCCTGAATGAGCGAGGCAACTTCTACAGGTGACGTTCTTTCGGCTCACATTGCCCGCATCACTAGTGTAAAGCCTGAGGTGAGAACGGAATAAGCAGGAGCAGGACTAAAGCAGGATGGAGCCTTCTTCCCAAGGTAAGGGATGATGCAATCGCTGTTGGTCACTTTTGAAATCTGTCGTCAGCTCTGCGTAGTGGTAGCACATGAATTCCATCCAGCCTACACAATACTCAGGGGTGGGCTGATTCACGGAATAGTGTCTCTACCTTTTGTAGCTTCCCCTCAGAGAACGGCCACATCTCCTCAGAAGAGCTCAATGCAGGCTAACCGATCTCTGAGGAAGTGGAGGCCTAATTGGCCTGGTCGGGAATCGGTTCGGGATTCGACCCTTAACCATGGCGTGGATAGCGGTGCCATATGCCTCTGCAACATCAGCAGCTCTGCTTTCTTTCCGAGACCATGTCTAAAAGCATTTTGAGTAAGGACTCGATTTGAATAATTGCTTACTGTAAGCGACTAATGAATTGAAAGTGCTTTGCAAGCTTCTGGCACTTTTGTGTGTTGTTCCTTTGTTTTCACATTTCTTACTTGTAAGATCTCCAACTACTGCCCAGTCCTATTTCTTGACGACTATTTGTTTTTTTAATGTTTCATAGTATCTCCGAAATGTTTCGAACAGGGTTCAAGGTGTTACGATTTTCAGTTCGATGAATAAAGACTTCGATTCTGAATTTGTGTTCATATACTGATTTCCAATAGAACTTTGAATTATTGCGATGATGGTTTTCCATGATCTCACATGAGCCGATAAGGATATCGGTCTAAACTTCATAGCGGAATTTTCCTTCCTTACAGATGAGGAAGTTCTGTGACAAAGATGGGGCCTGCTCGGCTGTTTACTCTTAACAATTAGGAGTCATGAACGGTTTTTGTAAGGAATGGAGAAAGAGTAACCCCGCTGTCATCTCGAAATCGTTTCGCTCTATGGTGGATGGAATGCGTTTTGTCGATGACGCCCTCGCTCAGCAGACAGCGCCAAATTGAATGACGCGTGCGACTCACCTGACCTGTGCCCAGATGTTGCTGATCTCTAAAAATGTCAAGGTTATCAAATGGATAAGTCGTATTGCAGAAAAACGACGCCTTGTGCGTGAAAAAAACGCTCCATACTGTTGAGCCCTTCTCATAGTGTGCAGCAGAATCGCACTGGCATTTCAAATGCGATTGTGTGTGGTTTATCCTTCCACATCGACAAGAGACTGGCGCGCCGATCTTGGAGGGGCTGAAGAACCTATCGCGCCTTCTCTTAGGTGCCATACCAACGAATCCTTTCATTCTAATTCTTGAGCCCCTGGGAGTGGTAAATGGGGCTAAGTGCCATTCGCGTCGAGTTACATTGCCTTGTAGAGCGCCTCGTTATCTCATCTTTTCGGAGAGGAATTTCGAGGAGTACACAATGGACCTACTGAGGGTCAGGAACAAAATGATTCTATACGCAGGGTTTCCAAGGCTTTCTTCCCACACTTATCCTTCCACTCCATGTGAGAAACGTTTCCGCTCATCAGTTCATTGAGTCACCTCTTTTTCAGTCAGTCAGAGTTTCCATGAGCTAACGGTCCAGGCAACCAAATGGAAGCAGTACCAAACCCCTTCATTATACTTCTGTACAAAGACATGATCAGCAGTTCGTGGGGACGAATGTTTCGTGGGCGTTTCATTAGTCGCCGAACAAATGCAGAAGGTCGCCACATGTTACACACACCCGTATGGAGACAAACGCAATCAGTCCTCAGTAGTTCTTGTTTCAGCCTGTCGATCATTCCGATTAAAAAATATATTTCTATGTTGTTTACTCAATTGAAACTGGAGCGATCCTATACGGATCGACGCTGCTCGACCCAGGGAGGGGGGGGGGGGAGGGGAAGGAAACATTTTGCACTTTTGCAAGATCTTTTTGTTTAGATCAACTAACGGGTTTCACATTGATGGGAGCTCCAACCTCTTGTGAAATTGCGAAATGGAGCAACTGAGCCGGTTTGGTCTAGGAATCCCTAAGTATTTTCAGAGCGATCTTCACAAGCTTAGCTGACTACCATTTTAGTGTCGCCACCATTTGGAACTGCGCCCACTCCATAAAATGGAGGGCTCACGGTCTCAGCTCTATCTTGATTTCTCTGGAACTTCCACTGAGAATAAGTGTCATTTACGTGAAGCTCTCCTCGTCTAACCGTAACGACTATCACTTATGGCAACTTCGAGAGAATGCCTATCTTTCTTGAGCTTGGTGCTTCTAATTAAATGGCGCTACTTTATTGAAAGTTTTATCACGGTACTCTCCTGATTTGATCTTGCCGCTCTCCTACATAGTTGGCGGGTCTTGTCAATGATTCCCGATGTCATCACACTGGACTGCGAGTGCCTTTTTTCTGAGCCTATGCCTCCGCTCAAATAAAAAAAGAGCGAAGTGAGAGACGACATTTCAGTAAACTTCCGAAATGATGCTCCAAAGATTCAAGATTGAAATTTGGTACCAGCAAAATCAGAGGAAAAAATAGTGGGCCGCTATTCTGTAGCAGAGGGAGTTCTGGTTAATATGACGCCTTTTGTTAAATTCTACCACTTTTCTTTTGGCTTTTTATTCTTTAAAATTTCAATATATACCTGTAGCTCCTATTTCTGAAACATTTCTGTCTAAGGTTAGTTTATGTATTGTCATCCACAGGTGATGAACACAGTTTTACGACTATGGTGGACATGTTTTCTCTGCGGAATAGCCGCCGACAGCATGATGTCATCAGACTTCATACCAATCGGAAGGTGGCTTTTGAAGTTTATTTCATTTCGATACTGATTGGAAAGAATCAAAACATTTTTGTAAAATGAGCGTATTCGGTAGTGTCATGATTTTGGAAAACACCTTGGGTACAGGGCAGAAGCAGGAGTGCATGACAGAAAAGTCAGCAACTGTCGAGCGCCGTCGCCTGCAGCCGCTTGCCCTGAAAACAAACGGTACACTCACTTCCGAAACTTTTGGACCCTGCCATGAGTGAATGTGTGGGCAACTGAAGTAGCGCGCCACTTCCTCCGCTCAAAAGTGCGCGGGAACGGAGTTGTAGGACAGTGATACCCGACAGAGTTTGCGGCAACTGTCTGAACTCCCATACATTCTGCGGCATGTCCAGCAACACACCCAAGGATGCTCGAGGAACCCTGGACATAGCGCGGGCGAAGTATGTAGACGACAATTCGGTACCACCGCCCTGTAGCACAGCTCTCCCGTGCACTTCTGATCGGAGAAAGTGGCTCGCAACTGCAGCTGTAGACCCATTCAAGTCGCGCACGGCAAGGACTCTTCTCGGAAGTGAGTGTACAGTTTGTTTCGGAGCGACTATTCACTTCAGTCGAGCCGTTGAAAGCTCAAAAAAGAGAACAACGTTGACTTGACAGAGTTTTATTTCCTGAATATAGTAGTGTTCATTTTTTTCAGGGATAGTGAAGATGGTGCTGTACAACGCCATCTACTCCATCGACGGCATAGGTCAGCATAGTTCCGTTGTTTCACTGATTACTTTAATGAAGTGTAAAGTTTATGGGCTCCATCATGGCAAATCTATCATGACAGCAGCACTTCTCAATTGGCCGAGAATTTTCTGCCAAAACATCGTGTGCCTAGGGTCTGCCTAGGCTCAGTAATATCGACTGATTGCCCTGTGGCCTTCTTTCGCTATTTTTTGATCCCTCAATTTGATGCCTCCTTTAGAGGTCACGTGGCACCGGCTCGTTTCGTGAATGCAACTGCAAATTCGTAAGCAGTTTTGCCTCCAAAACGAGCTTTAACTGTGAATCAACCGATTTTCACTAGGCATAGCTATGCCTTTGTTTCCGTTTTATCTTTTCTGCTTTTTACAGTCAAAAGTATTCAAACCAGGTGACGCACAAAACACAAACAGGGCAGCCGTTCTATGGTTTCAAGGCACGTCTACTGGGTAAAGCAATTTCCCCTCTCAACTATAGGTGAGGTGAATGGGAGCACAGTATGTGTAGTACTGTTTGGATGGTACATGGTGAGGAACGTCGGGGCCTATTTCACTAGCTCGGGTGTTTCTGTCGGACCTGCCACAGTCTTAAAATGGAGGTGGAAAAAGTGCACGTTAGTGCTCCCTGTGGTTTGCGTTTTTTTTCTCGCCACGTGCTGATAGCAAAAACTTGAAACGAAAGGAATATAGGGAATACGTGACTCGTGCCGGGAAGAATTGTATGGTGAGGTTGAATAAGATTTCCTTCAAAGTGCTCATGCTGCAGAGGTATAGCACTCATTGTCAGTACATCAGAGCAGCACACCCGAGTAAGGTAATCAAAAAGGAACGAGTGAGGTGGGAGGGGCATGTCATCCCCTTTCCTTGCCTTGCTCGTCTTTTGACCACATTTTGTTATGGCATGCAAAGCACATTAAACTGAAGAGCAAGGCAGGAAGAGATCTCCACCCGCGTTTTCATTTTGACCAGCTTCCTCGAGTATTGAAGCTGCTCCAGTGCCCTGAGTCCCTATTTGAAGCCAAAAGGGGAATCCCGGCGATGTTTGGGACTACCTACTATATCGTCAACAAGGTCATGACAAGATTCCCGATCGCTTCGACGGGATATGCAGAAAATCCCGACATTCGTTGACAGGATAAGATTCCAATTGCTTCGATCAAGAGCGGTGGGGGGGGGCTCTTGATAGGGCAAGAAGTCGCACCTGAGGCATCATTTCTTTCAAATCACTATCGAGTCCTGAAGGCCCTTTGAATGACAACGGTGATTTCCTTTCATTGTCGCATGACAGTGTGGGTGCTCCCAGGCTTTCTATTAGCGAAGTCCTTTGCTAGCTCTCCCACGAAAGAGCTGCGTGCAAGTCGCAACCCTCCTGGCTAACCATCGGATCTCTTTGGTCGTTCTCGCTAAGGATTCCTTGTAAACCACTGTGAAGGTAGAAATTTAAAACGAGCACAAGCTACTACTTAAGTTGAAAAGCAAACTGAGTTCTTAAGGCATCGGGCGTCGACGGCAGAGCAACAACATCTGCGGGCTTTAGAAGAGTATGAACAGCAACGAGAAGAGTATCGTCAGAAAGTTAAGGAGGCCAACGACCAGTACTTTGACCAGTACCTCGAACGAATGAGGCAGTACGCAGCACAAATCCAAGTAAGAAGGTGCGTTTGCTTTCTTGGTCCACTTTTTTTGACTTCCAGGTAAAAGCAGGAGAAAATGTGGGAAATTGAGCAATCTTCCGTTGGGCGAAAGGGGCGTACGATATCAAAGGCGGAAACAGTGTTCACATATATAATCGGGTCAAACTTGCGCGCGCCTGAAGAGCTGGTTTTGAGTTAAACGGTCAGTTTCGTAGGCACGTTGGTTGGTATGATCTGGTACCATTCCTGTCGCAGTATGTCACGCTGTAGCCTGACCACTGCGCGACGGCCCGCAACAAGTGCAAAGTCATTGTGGCAACCAGGAGACCTATCTACTGGAAGCAAACGACCGAGTTCTACTAGATTTAGCTTTTTAGACACGAGGTTGAGAAGCAGTAATAAAAAATAGAATGAAACGTACTAGTAGTATTCTAGGTACCAAGAGCTGTTACAGCGACAGCAAATGGAACGAGATAGTATAGCGAAGACAATGGGACACTTTGGAGTTGCCACGCCAGATCTCCACTCAGGGACGACATTGGAGAGGTCACGAGAAGAAAAAGAGGAGAGGCCATCGTATGTTGAATACTATAAAATTAAGACTCCTTGGTCAACTGGTTAAAAGCCATTTTCACTCAGTCAATAACTATGTGGCTTAAACCAATTTGTTTCAGGAGTCCTTTCGGGGACTTGCAACCCGTGCAGAAAAGTGGTCGCGAACCTCGAAGCAGAACTTCGGGTATTATGGTAAGGATACTATAAATACTGTGTGACAAGGAATTGTAGCTCATTTCATGAGGGGGAATTGCTTCACTTCTGAACTACTTAGACTCTCTGGATGGGGTGGAAGGGGGGAGGGGTTGACACTCGAAAGCTGTGCATAAAGGCGCCGAGCTGAGAACATTTTTGGTCCTGCACCACTAAATGGCCACAAATTTGGAACTCTTGGATGAGAATACAGAATTCTTTTGCTCAGTAGGTAAAACAGATAGAGTTCAAAATGTTCTACAGCTCTAATCCCCTCCCCCACCTCCTCCCCTGTTGATGCTATAGAATTCTCTGCAAATCAGTTCCCTTCCAAATACTGTTCCTACCTGGACTAATATAAAAGATTCTACCCTAGCTAGTCCCCTGATGGAATTTATGAGCTTCAGAACCTGCCAGAGCAGCATACGCCATCCCAAATCGAGCCTCGACCTGAAAATCGTGATGTTCATCGAAAAGCGATGGCTCTAGAGGCGCTTTGTGCGAGGTAACACCGTCATGGCCATATGGGGACTCTGATATGAACTTGATATGTCTTTGATATGAGTGAATTAAGATTACTTGCAGGTTCCAACCGACAGTTCGGAAGCATTGTTATGGTAGAGGAACGGCTAGGGAGTACGCGAGACGCTGTGCGGCATATTTTCATGTTTGTCTCACCACCTTTCATTTTTTCTGCTGGCCACGGTCGCGAGAACTTGTCAATGCTGGCCTAGGTCTCAAATGAAGGCAAAGACTTTCGCTGACATTCGGGAAGCGAAAAATCTGAAGAGTATCTTATTGTCCTTCCCGGGGGACTCCAGTGGATTTCAAGCGATCATGTGCATTTTCAGGATTGCCAGAGTTTCCTGCCCCGATCGGATCCTCTCTACAGCATTGCGAACGCATTTAACTCTAATGTCGGACTGAATCTTGGTACTGTAGAGGTAAACGGTATCCCATACTATCCCATCAATGAAGAAGGTTTGTTTTATTTTGCTCG